CTCTTCTGCCTGATGATGCACAGGTGTCACAAATTACAGCCTCCCATCCCAAAAGGAAGTAAAATGGTAAGTCTGATTGCTTAACGTGGAACTTGGACAGGAACTGAGAAGGGGAAAAAAACTCACGTGGCATCCAAACCCAAGCTTCATTCAGAAGTTGGAGGGACATGCATCACCTCGCCACCCCGTACATGCGGCACGAGCACAGGGTGCCAGATGCAAGAAACTCCTTTGCACCTGCATCATCTCTTGGATTAGATGATGACTGAGGGGAATAAAACCTGGCTCAACTCAGAAAAGGAGAAAAAATGAGGCTGATCCTTCAGTCAGGAGTGAAACAGTAAAACCCAGGGAAATCCCCAAGGACCACATGGTGATAGTTTTGGATGGAAAACTCCTCCTGTTTGGGAGAGGCTGTTCCTGTCTTTGGTTTGCCTTGCTTACAAACCAGAGGATTTCAAAGCCCCAAAGCATGGTTGGATTTGTGTTATCTGCTGGTTGGCAGCACACAGCTCTGAGAGATGTATCATTTTAAAATCCATCCCAGGGACGACTGCAGGGCCTATTCAAAAATCCTGAAGTTTATGAGTTTTTCTGAACAGGGACAATCCTACCAAAACAGCAGGTATCCAAAATATCTCTAGAGGACAGGTTCTTGGAAACATGATCACCATTTGAGGTCTTCAATCCAGAAATCCTGTGGGTGCTGTGCACAGGGGTCCACACTTGGGTGGGCAGATTCTGGGTGCTGTGGCATTTCATTCTCCAAGCAGCCACCGTTCATCCCTCTCTTTCTTGCTCCCAGCTTGGAGCAATGCTCTGCTTCTGTAAATCTAGATTTTCATTGGAAAAGGAATAACAGAGGGGAAAAGGTAGTGCTGCCGGAGGGATATGAAGTACAGCTGGGCGGATTAGGCTGCAAGGGAATTAGGGAATTAATGATGCTTTAGCAGCTTGAAATCTGCTGGTCCGGAGATGAAACTTTTAAGACGCCCTTGGCAAGCATGGGGAAAAGACAGCCTGTCGAGACAATGCCACCTGCTGGAGACAGCTCTTGGAGACCGAGATTCATGGCACCGGCTAAACTCGTGTTTCTTGGTCGTCCTTGCACCCAAATCCCTCTTCCGAAGCTTGAAAACCTGAGCTCATGCCTGGCAGGGCAGAGATGTCAGGCACCCACAAGCACAGCCCCTCTACTATCTCCAGGAACATTTTCTCCCAGGTTTCCCATATCCTTTTTCCCATTTGCCTTATCTGACAGCTAATTATCATTCCAAAGGTAATTGCTGCAGGAGCCATATGGGATCCATAAGCTGCTAATGCGGGGAGGTTTTTTTGCAAAGAATCGTAAGACCTATACATTATTGTTGTTGATATAGGTATGATTATCACTGCTGTAAAAGCAGCCAAAATTGACAAAATATGTTGCGGAAATAGTTACAGCAGCTCAGACATGAAGACAAGGTTGTAATCCCTGAAGCCATTAAAAGTCTTAGGGGTTTTTAATTGGGAGGAAATTGTATGTTCACAAGCTCCAATTAGAGAGTTACAGCACAAACCCAGACCTAAGGAAAGGGAAGGAGGAGGGAGGTGAAGCTTCAGAGTGGGGGGACTCCCGCACTGGGATTTGGGAAGCAGCCACTGACAGTGCCACAGATCCAGGGGGCTCAGCGCTTCTGTGTGGAGATACATGTCGGTTATCTAATAAGCCATTTCTTAAGCTCCAGTGATACTGCTACTTGTATCATAAATTCAATGATCTTCACTTTACTGCCCATTAATCTGCTCCTTTTCCTGACAATTTTATACTCTTTTGATAAACTGTTTGTCTAACCACATGGAAGAAACAATGTCAAAAGCTGTACCTTAGGCGTTCGCCCAGCTAATGAAGAAAATGCATCACAAGGAGAGTTTATCTACTGCTTCGCTGGATGTAAATAAAACATCAGGCTAATTTACTTCCATTTATCTTAAAGGCCGTTGCTACAACAATAGTCCTGTGTCAGAGCAGACTTTTTTTTTCCTTTTCCGCATAAATATTTAAGTAAGTACTGAAAGCATAAATAAATTGCTTTCTAAAAGCCAGATTATTTTTATATCCAGTTATTTAGCAATAAATTTGGATTTACTTGCTAGCTCTTGCCTTTCAGGCAGCAGTCAGCCCACGCTTCCTTTGCGTGGCACAGGGATGCTTGGGAGGATTTTGCCAAGCATCTTCTGGGGTCTCTGAGTGCCACCTGTAATAACCCACCCTTAAGGGGAAGGCAGCACAAGGGTGGGTCGTCACATCACCCCCGAGTGCCACCCCACTGGTGCCACCCCTGGCCAATGGGTGGGTTCAATGAAAGCTCAGGCTGCTCTGTGAGGTCCATGCAGGCCTGCTGCAAAGACTATTTAGTGTCCTGTGGCCACAATGGGCAGCTCAAGAAATAGCCCTTAAATGCAGCAAAAAGGTATTTAGTTTATGGAGGGTGGGGCCAGCAAAGCGCTGTAGCAGGCTGCTGGGGGATGACTGGGGGTCAACAACTTTGGGGACTGAATAGGAGTAGTGAAACAGTGTGTGTTGGCATGCACACATGTGTGCGTGTCCAGCAGATGGGAGCCAGCTTGACCCCTGCCTTCCATCCCCCAGCCCTATTTTCTGCCAGCTGAAGTGCTGTGCACAGCCAGAGATCTGTTAAACACAGATCATGTCACTTGGATCACTGTAGCATGAAACAGTTCCTTACTGGTGAAGCTCTGGGAAGGTGCATGCCCGTGCTCTCAAAGGCTATTCTCAGAGCACGTTCCTGTGGTGCCAAGGGTGAGCATGAGGGTGCTGCAGGAATGCCCTCCTTCAAGAAGCCCTTGTTTCTCCACTGCTTTTTCCCTTGCTTAGCTGCTGCTGCCTTCTTAAAGTCAAAGCCATCCTGCCCCAGTGCTGCAGCCAGCTTGGACCATGTCCTTTTTTTTTTGTTACCACATCCCAACAGCATCCATAATAATATCCGGTAAAATTTGGTTAAATCAGGATCACTGCTCAGATGAAATCTTGTTTGTCAAGCATGGTCCCAAGTGAATATTTATAACTATAAAATAGTTATAACCATGAAAATAAGTTTATCATAGGAAATATGACACAGGAGCAAACTGAACCAAACACTATATGGCTGATGTAAGCCATGAGATTCCTCTGAACAGCCATTACCACAGTTCAGAGCCTGTGCTGGTTACATAGGCAAGCCCATGGAACAAATGACAAATTAAAGAAGATTAATGATCAGTCTCAGCAAGATCACGGCTTTTGGTTCTCTCATTTATCCATACATGGCTCTTTGTTAAATCACGAGTGATTTTTATTCACATGCATCACTGCTTACAGATGTACCCATATGTGTACAAACTCACATTAAAACTAAGGAAATGCAAAAAAACCCCCAGAAAAATCCCCACTACCCTGTGCAATGTTAAGGTTGAGAAGATGCAACCACGAGCAAGGCAAAAGCTGCTGTTCCAGCACAGCAAAGTCCACAAGCTTTGGCCACTGCACAGAGCCCCACCTTCCTCTCAGTTCTCACTGAGAACTTGGATTACATGGGATGAAAACCTATCTTTTAATGAAATTTCTCATTTTAATGAGAAAAAACAAGGCTATGACTAATGCTGCACACCCTAACTCTCTTTTTACCTCACAGCTTTTCACAGCATATTTTTTGGATTTAATTATGTTACATTTAGTATCCTCTACTCTTATATAGCCGTGCCTGGGCATGGCTTTTCGTAGGAACCAGGTTGAATTATTTCACTCTCCTCCATGCTTGCAAGCTGAGCTCACCTACCAATAATAAATCTCCACAATTCAGGCTTTAGCAAGGCTTCCGTGACAGTCATACATCCCATGGCATGGCAAATGGGATGATAACTCATGGGGTGGAGAGAGTGCCGGGGGAAAGGCTTTCCCTGGCTAATTGGAGGGCAGGACTCCAGGAAGATGCTGATGGCACTTTGGATGCTGATGTGCCTGCAATGCTGAGTGCTGACGCTTCCTGAGAGCACTCGTGCTTGTTGATTCATGTCACCCACACCTCACTTCATCTTCTCTTCAGCAAGAGGAAAAAGGGGGAAAAAGGTAATTGCTTGCGCTTATCAGCATGGGTGTTAAAGCATCCCCTTGCAGCCTCTCAAACTAACATGATGTTAAGAGGCATGGGGTGGGGAAGGCATCAACACCTGCCTTTTCTTCCCCTGCTACGTGGGTGGCCATGTTCTCCAAAGCTATGGCAATGGGACAGCAGCTCTGCATGGGTGCCCGCACCAGTCTCACTGAGGCTTCCCAAAGGCACATTTGATTTGGGGTGCCTCAAGCATGGAGCCTCTGCCTGTAGGGCTGGAAAAATGGAGGGCTGCTCCCTGAGGCCCCTTTAAAAAGCCTTGTCCTGGTGGCAAACCTTTGGCCCACAGGCCAGGAACTGGCAGCTCCTGGCAAGCAAACACTGACTGCATGCCTCAGCTGGGAAACACACTGTGGGGAGTGATAGAGCCCATCCCTGTATCTTTTTTCCTCCTATTCTTTTTGCTTTTGGGTTATCTATCAGCCCTGACACTTGAAGACCTGCCTGGCTGGGATGCTGCTGGGCCTCATCACGGTGGGCTGCTGGGATGACAGGAGCAGGATGGGCTCTGCCGGAGGTGCCAGCATGCTCAGAAAGAGTTTTGCACTCGATTGCCTTCTGCTGAAATAGCCTGGCATTTTTGTTAAAACATATTTCTGCAAGCCTTGGAAAGAGTTTCGCACAGCCGTGCCCAAGGGAGCAGTCAGGAGTGCTAAACACAACCGTGGGAGTTTTGCCTTTTAATCCCCTGATGGCAAAGGGAAAGAGTGAGCAAGAGATTTGAATCTTCAAATCAAGAATGCACCCTGGCAGCAGCCCAGGCCTGCTGAGGCATGGCACAAGGCACATGGCACACGGCACATGGCACATGGCGCTCGCCAGGGATGGTACCATGGGCTATGTGAAGGCTGTTGCTGTCCAGTGCTCCTGCAGACCCAGGTCCTGCCTAGCCCCAGCTTCAAGCAGTGGCTTACACGTGCTCCCAAGCACACATGATCCCCTCCATGGGAGTGCCAGGCAGAACTCAGCTCTAGCATCTTGTCCCTGCTTAATCCACTTAGAAAGTTCACCGCTGGTTTCCCCTTGCCTCTCTGACTGGGATGTTTCGGAAAGCATCATCAAAAAGTCCAGTACAAGCATGGAAAGGCTGTCAGTGACTTCTTCCACTGCTTTTTAACCCTTACCAGAGTCCATGTTCAGTTGTCCGAGCCTCCAGTTTTTATAGTAGCTGTGTGTGTGTGTGTTTGTGTGCGTGCACGTGTGTGTGTGTGTATGTGTGAAGAAGGCACTCAAAAATCTCATGGATATGCCCCTCCTTTGAAAATCCATGCTGAGACCATGACTTGATGACTGTTGCCTTTCTCAAGCAGTTGTGGATTGTCTCAGGAGACATCTCCTCCTTGTCTTTCCTACTCCCTGTGATCCCATCTGCTTTTCCAGAGCATTCTACAAGGTGGAGGGAAACACCTTGTGGAGAGCCAAGCAGTCTCATATCACCCATGCTGAGGGCGTGAGGTACATCTGTTGCTGTTGGGATTTGCCAGGCAGGAACTCTGTGCTGACTGGAGGTCAGTTCACCATGGCAAGTCCTCGAACACTGTCAGGTTGTGCTCTCGGATGTACCTGAGCAGGATCCGTGCCCGCCTGTCAATGGTCTGAAGCAGGGGTATCAGGCCCTTGGCACCGCCCTGGCTCTCCCAGAGCTCCCGGTCCACACGGAGTGACTCCAGCAGCAGGCTCTGCAGTCTGCCTGATCGCAGCGTGGCCACTGCCGCCGCTGGAAAGCTGCAGAGGAGGAGCAGAAGAGACAAGGAGGGAAGGGGTTACACAGGGAACTCTGGGCAGGTAGGAGGGAAGCAGCAGGGCACTTGAGCAAAGATGCTTCAGGAAAAAATGCATGCCCACCCAGAGGAACACAGGATGAGGAGCCTCCTGCTTAAAGCTCTGCCCATGGTGAGCGTGGAGGATAGCTCCATCAGAAACAGATCCAAACAAATTCCAAATCAAAAGGCCTATAGCATGCCAAAATGCCTCACAGGCAACGACGCAAGAAATGCTGAAATACCTGATTATTCATTATTTTTGTGCAGCTGCCAATTAAAGAGGGGAAATAGGCTTTGGAGCCTGCCATCAGTCATCCAGAGCAGAATAAAGAGCTAGTTTCATGGCAGGGGCACATGGGACATTTTTGTGAGACTGCCCACCCACCCTGCTCTGGGTGGGAGGTGGCCCTGCTTCACAGGGGTGCCCAACCAGGGTGGCCAGGAGCGGCACGAAGGTGTGCACACAGGGCTGCTGGCCATCCCACACATGCCAGCTCAGCCCTTGCCCAGGACTTGCCTCCAGGAAGGTGCACATTCCTACCTGTCTATGCCTTGAAGGAGCCTGAAGTTGAGCTTCTCCTCAGGGTGCTGTGGCCTGCCCGCGTTGTCGATGAACACCAGGCGGGATGGCGCGCTCCTCCGGACCTGCCAGCAGGATGGGAAGGAGAAGTTCACTTACTGCAGAGAGACACCAGTTTGTGGGTGTAGGCTGCTTTTTAACGCAGTGAGAAAGCCTGAGAGTATCTGAGAGACAGCAGATGCCCAAGTCCAGGTTTCCCCGTGCCCGGCACACCTCCCACCATGGACCCAGCATCACCATGGGACTTGTGCTCTCTTTGCTACCACCTCAGCCCTGCAAGTCCCTCCCAGCGCCTCCCAGCTACCTTTATCTTAGCGCCAGAGTAGCCTCTGGAGAGGGGGACATACCAGGATGTGGACCAGGACCAGCTCTTCTGGGTTCCGGCACTTCTCGTGGAGCATCTCCTCCATGCAGGGCTCAGAGGGATCAGGCTGAAACCCACAGCAGTAGCGGTCCAGGCGGTCATGAACCTGCAGGAGACATTTGGGAACCTTAGCAGGGACATATGCCCAGGATGGGGAGGTCCTGATGTGAACTTTTCCTGCTCAGAGGAAAATAAAACATTTCTAGGTATTCTCAGCAGACTTGAAAAGGGAAAAGATGGTATACACCAGTGAGAGAGTGAGAGGTGGGGAAGCATGAAGAAGCTTAGCTGGCTTGCAAAACTCCCTTGGCTTGAAGAAGGTGATGACAAAGGTGATGGTGACAGGCTTTCCTGATGGAGTTCAGATACATTCTGTGCCTGGTACCTCCACACTCCATATTTTCACAGAGTGAGTGTGTTGTGTTTCCAGCTGAAACCAAGGGAAGACATACATGGCCATGAATGTAAAAAAAACCACCCAAAACCAAAAGCAAGAAAAGCACCCAAGGAAACCTAGGGTTTGAATCCTCAGAAAGACAATTTTTTCCGCGTCTTGGTGTTCTGGATGATGGTTTCCTCTGGCTCCTGTGACATACACACTCTTTCATCCATCCCTATGGTAACTTGAGCAGCTCTCAATGGAAAGATGAATGGAAAAGTATTGGCAAGGGAAAAAGTGATCTGTGCATTCACAGAGCATGCCTGACGTTTAAGTTGGGCCACAGTGACTTGTTTTAGCTACACTTCTGGTTAATTATTTGCAGGTGCTGCTAAGGCTTTGTGTTTTGAGCCTGTTAAACCTCCTGCTTCCCACCCCAGTTCCCTGCAGAAACCCCACTGCTCCTTGGCAACTTCCAGTGTTTCAACCACACCCTCAGAGGAATGAAGGACTTTTAAAAGACATAAATCTCTGTCAGACCTGTTTTCAGTAACCCTGCCTTGGTATTCACGAAGCTTCCTCAGCTTTGTCAGAAGCAGCTGGCACAGCCTCTGTGGTGGTTTGTGGGGCAGACAGGGTCTCGTTGCCTATCAATAGTCCTCCCCATGGCTGCGTGTTGCCACAGCCGTGTAGGGGAGCTGGCTCACCACCTCCAGCTCCGGAGGCCTGTTTGCATACACTCCTTTAAGTATAAACCAAAAGTATATAAATATATAGAAAATAAATATATTTTCTGGTAGAAGCATTAAAATGTCTGACTCACTGACTTGGTGTTGCTGGTGCCAACCCAGGAGGCAGAGCTCAGGGTGCAATGAGGCTCCTGGAGCCACCAGGAGGGCTGCAGTAGGGTAAGACCCAAGAGGTCTCATGTAAGCCTGGAGTGATCTATGAGTGATGACTAGACAGAAGCCAAGTGACCCACAGTGGCCGCCTATTCCCTTCACCCTGCTAATTAGCACTTGTCAGTTACAGGCTGTGCTTTGAGAGAGTTCAGCCTGAACCCAAATACTGACCAAGCACTGGAGAAGATGCTGCAGGAAACACAAATTGTGATTTCTGTGGCCATTATATTTGTAACCCTTTGCAAAGCAGGATTAGTCCCACGCTGGAGCCCCTTAACAAACCCTTCTGTTTCCTGAGGTTTAATGAAACACTTGGGTCAGCATTTCTCCATTGAGAGGCACTCCAGTTAAAAGTGTTTGAGCATTTTGACATAAAACTCATTGAAATGGAAGAAAATATTACATTTCCTCCACACACCTCCTATGTCTGCCTACTGGAAAGCTCAGCACATCGGTTTCTCTCACCTGCTATGTTGTCTTCCAGGCTGCACAGAAGGTGAAGACAGCCTGAGATGATTTACAGATACATTAAAGGGGCTCAGAGCTCTACTCACCCGCCCACAAGCACCTATGAAACCAGAGTGGATTGGTGCTGGACATGCAGAGATGTCAGGTGGAGGTGGACCTGGTGAACAAATGGAGCCCCAGGAGAGGGACCAGATGGCTGTGGGGATGCTGAGATTGCCACTGACACGCTGACAAGCCCTCTTTCCCCCTGACCCTCTCCTGATTGTTTATATTAATTTCTTCTTGCCAGAGCCTAAATGGCTCTAATGCATAAGATCAAAATAGGTCTTATTGCTGGAACACAAGTACACGAGCCACACTCCTGTCCAAGCTCAAACCCCGTGAGAAGCTTGCCTTCAGCCCCTCTTTGGTCCTATGGCCACCCCAGGGCATCCCCTTGGGTCCAGTAGGTCCTTCTAGTCATGATTCAGCCTGGGATGGTTTCCTCAGCCTGGGAAAATTTCCTTGCTTTTCCCCAGTCCAGAAGAGGGTGCTCCAGGGAAGGGATGTGGCTGCAGGGCTTCAGAGGTGATTTGGTTTTGGCCCTCTTTAAAGTGCAGGACAAAGCCATCAGCAACTTTGCCATTTCCACCAGGCTCAGCATTTTGCCCTCAGTAAAATTCTGCATGTAGAGGGAGGTTCCCTTATGGCAAACACCAAGAGAAATCAACATAGAAGAAGCCCAATTTTAAGGGTAATTGAGGAAAACTACCAAGATTCTCATGCCAATGTACAATAGGTCTCAAATCTCACAGCCTCTCTGTCCCCAGCAAGGGCTGTGAGAGGCTAAAGCCATTTCTGAATGACGCTATTTCACTTCTACAATATCCTGCAGACTCTTTACCTTTACATGACTTTTTGCGTGGGAGAATCCCATTGGAATTATTGAGGAAAGCTTTGGATTTATCACTGCACTGCTCCAGCCCTCCAAGGAAAACTCTCCTTAGAACCACATACTTTCTCCCGGAGACTCGGCCTTTCCACTGCACTCAGCAGCATTTTGGCCTGGGGAAGGGAAGGAGGTTGGTTAATCTTCTCATTTCTCTGGCTGTTTCAGCTAAAATATTTCCAAGCCCAGCCAGGACTGCTCTGCCTCTGCCAGTCCTAGTTCAAGGTTATAAAGATTAATGGTCAGGATTTGAGAAAAAAAAAAACAAACCAGCAACAAGAACAAAAAGAGAGAGAAAAATGAGAACACATTTAGTTTGTGTTTTTTCTTTCTTCACTTCTTTCTTTTTTTATTTTAATACTTGACCTTTCAGGCAGTTTCCCCTTATCTGATAACCAAAGCTCCAGCCCCAAGGTGCCTAAACAGGCATTTTCTTCCCATAGAAATCACTTTCACCTCCTTACAGCTGCCCTCCAAGAACTGATAACTCTCTGGGACGCTGTTGTAATCCCTTGTAGCAGCAGGGTATGATTTTCCAGATGGGAGATTAAGTGCTACTAATGCAGAGGAGGAGGAAATCAGTGCTGTTCAAAGGGGCAGGGCTCCTCATTTCCAGTGCCAGCAGCGCATCCCTGGAGTTGGATCTGATGGGGCTGAGGCAGAAAATGCTGCTGGTCCCTAGGGATGCCCTAGGGATGGCCCTAGGGATGTCCCTAGGGATGCCCCAAGCCACTGCACAAAGCAAAGCCACAATGGCAGAAAGCTCACCCACGTGAGAGTGGACTCACCACATCCAAAACCTGCCTGTATTTCCCCTGCAAGTCCCAAGCACGGACCATACTCAGGCCAAAGTGCTTCTGCACAAAGCTCTGCTGCTCAGCCTTAGCTGATGAGTGAAAATACATCCCAAGAGACACCACAGCCTATGTGACCCCGCAGAGGAGAAGGAATCCATGGCCAGACAATAAAGGTTCAGATGCAGGGGGACCCAGGTGGCACAGCTGGTGGGACAGGTGGTCTCCATCACTGCAGCCCTACCTGGAGAAGAAAGTCAAAGAGGGCCAGGCGGCTCCACTCGCCGTGTGGGATTCTGGAGCAGGGGGCATCCCCAGCCATCAACGTCAGTCTGTGGGGCTGCAGCATATCCTGATACTGCAGCCACCCCAAGGCACAGGAATTCTGGTCGTTGTTGGCATCCTCCAGGTGCTGGAGGTCAGGAGCCCACCAGATGATGGGGCGCAGGGAGCCGTCGGTGTAGCTGTAGGGCAGGAGGTGGCTGGTGAAGCGCCGGGCCACAGCGGGCAGGCTGCGGTTCAGCCCCAGCACCCTGTCCAGGTGGAAGGCCAGCACCTCATAGAGGTCCCCGGGGCGCTTGATGAGCCCACAGCGCCCATCCTGGCAGTCCCTCTCTGGGCTGGCTGGCAAGACATTCCCTTTGGCATCTCCCACGAGCTGCAGCCCCACTCGCATGACTTGCCCATGGGCAGGTATGCGGGTCTTGGAGACCACCTGCCCACTGGCCAGCAGCTGCATCTTCTGGAGGTCATCCTCAGAGAGCCACAGGGGAGTTTCCCTCTCCACACCCCGGCGCCGCCTCCTGCCCCGGCCAGGGGGCTGGTCCCGCCGTGAGCGAGTGAGGGGTACAGGGAGCCTTTCTCTGCGGGCTTGTCCTCCAGATAGCGGGTCAGCCACCTCCCATGGGGGACCTGGGGGGGACGAGGCTGGCAGTGGGAGTGGGGAGTGGTCCGGTGGTGGGGGCAGGTGGATGAGTGCCAGCAGGGCCAGGGCCAGCAGCACCCCAACAGCTGCTGGGGCTGAGAGCTTCATCCCCAACCTTCGCCATGGTCGCTGGGCCTGCAGGGAGAGAAAGGTAGAGTGGTACTGGAGTGTTAGTCCAGGAGAGTCCTCAATAGCGTTTGCTTTGGAGAAGCAGCCTCTCTGCTTGTGTTGATCCCTGGGAAAGGTGTTCCCCAAGCACTCACTGCCTTCATGGCACTGTAGCAGGAGGGGTATGGCTGGTGCCATGATTTGTGCCAGAAATTATCTGCAGTTAGAGCAAAGGCTGACCCACCACAGAGGGTGCATGTCTGCAGTGCTGATGTACAGGATCTCTTTATGGGCAATGAATTCTTCATGGCCAAATATTTTGCTTTAAAGACTGAAGAAATGGGGAAAAAAAAAAAAAAAAAAAAAAAAAAAAAAAAAAAAAAAAAAAAAAAAAAAAAAAAAAAAAAAAACCAAACCAGAGCAAATTCCTGTCTGGATATAAACAATTTCCAGTTCCTAAGAGGTTTTTATCCTTCAGACCTTACTCTGGGCACGCTCACTGATTCATATCCTGGTCGCACACTGAACCCATAACTCAGATCCCCACACCCTTGTTTGTAGGACATCTCAATGCATGCTGAGACAAGGCCTTTGAAGTTCTGCCCATCACTGTGTCCAGCAAAAGCAAGGCAGCTCCAAGTGTCAGCTGGGACCTGTGACGGCCTATGTTTTAAAAACGGGTGTGAAATGCTGGAGGGCTGAAGCACCTGTTGTATGGAGACAAGTTGAGAGAGTTGATGTTGTTCAGCCTGGAGAAGAAAAGGCTCTGAGGACACCTTATAGCACTTTCCTGAACCTAAAGGTGGCTACAAGAGAGCTGGGGAGGGACTTTTTACAACAGTGTGGAGTGATAGAGCAAGGGGGAATGGTTTTAGACTGAGAGTAGGTTTAGATTAGATATTAGGAAAAAATTATATACATGGTGAGGTACTGGAACAGCTTGCCCAGAGAAGCTGTGGATGCCCCAGCCCTGGCAGTGTTCAAGGCCATGCTGGATGGAACTCAGAAAAACCTGGTCTAGTGGAAAGTGTCCTTACCTGTGACAGGAGGGTTAGAACTAAGTATTCTTAAGGTCCCTTCCAACCTAAACCATTCTATGTGTCTGTGAGATGATCCATGCTATATGTGAAACCTAAAGTCTTCTGATTCCCAGCACTAAGGAACTGCCTTTAAACAGGTACTAACAACTTTTGAGGTATATATTTTTATACACACAGGCTTCTCTCCCCCCATTTTAGTCATACTTTCTACTTTGGAGCAACTTAAAAAACTGTATAGGCTGGAAAGGCTGTTATAAGCAAACATTGTGCAAGTCTCCCCGCATTGCTAAGTTCATATCTCCCCTTTGGCCTAAAGCAATTCCATGCATGTGGTGCTGAGGCTACCCTGAGCACAGCACATTCCCTTTTGGGATGAAGTGGAGGGCAGTGTTGGGGCAGCACTGGGAGATCCTCCAAGCCAGTCCTGGGCCGCACTGCACGCCTGCCTCATTCACTGGGGTTTGGGCAGTCTAACGCATTTCTGGAGGCTGGAACCACAAAAAGCACATTGGCGCCGTTTCTCTGCTTTCAACAGGCATTTCCAAGTGGCTCAGACTCACATTGGAAGTCAAGGCAGTGGTCAAGTGGATACATTTTTTTGCAATTATTTATTTTGGAAGCACAAGTATATCCATGGCAGACGCAGTGGGACAATGCAATGCCAAAGAAGGGGTAAGAGACTGTTTATAAGAGTAAAAGCTTGAAAAAAAAAAAGATCTAAAAAGCCAGGGAGGTGAGAGCCAGCAGCCAGAATGACTTCCAGAAAGCAGCTGGGCAAGCAGAAACAATTCCAGCCATGGGGCTTTTAGGACCGCAGGCTCCCACTGGCCACAGGGACCCACCCCCAGCACAGCTCCAGCCTCAAGAACAGGCAATCCCACTGCATAAGCCCCTTCATAAGGTGATCCAGCACTATCCCAACATCCATCAGGTTTTGTGCCCCCACAATGGCCAGGCTGCTTCAGGCAGCCCCATGGTGAGGAGCCTTGCAAAGACACTGCATCAGCCAAGGTGGGAGAGGAGCCACCAACTTGCTGGCCTCAACCACAGGAGTGTTCCTTTAATGTCTCCCTTTCAAGGACTGAGCAGATTTAATGAAGCTTACAAGAGCTATTGATGGTGCACTTGGAGTGATTCAGCTTTATAGCTCTCATTTAATTGCTTCTCTTCCAGAGATACAATGTAGTGCAGCAAAATATATCCACTGGGCTGAATTCTTTGTTCAGACACAGCTTACACCAGTCTCTGCTGGGAGCTAGGGACTGTCTGGTACAAGGCCTTAGGACCTGCCAGGAGACCCCCTGTTTTATCTCTCCCTAGAATGAAAAGGACCTAGTTCAGGGTGAGGGATGTCCTGTCCTAGATCACAGGCAGGGTTATTCAGGGCTTGGCATTAACTGTCCCAGGCATCACACTGCATGGCTAAATCATCGCCTTAGGTGCCTTTCTGGGGAGGGAATGAGCATGAACACACCCAAGCGCCCCAAGGGGCAGCAGGACTTCTGTCAAGAGGCTGGTTGTGATCCAAATCCAAGTCTGGCATCCTGAGCAAGAGTTTGGAAGAGGTAGAATCTCTATATCATAGTTTAACCCCAGTAAAATAACACTGTGTCATAAAAAGGGCAGATCCTGATAGTCTGATATCTATACTCTTTTTGAATCATCACTGTGAATGCCTCACAATCTGTCCCTCTGGCCTCAAAGTATGCTGAATTAACTGCAATAACATCTATGTTATTAAACCTAAAGGACAGGATAAACTGTAAATTTCAGTATTCCCATCTGCATCCATCCACTGAGTCCCTTCTAAATCTGTGCTTCCCTGGGCAACTTTTCCCAGCATCTCCCCTGTCCTACCCCTCTGGGGAGACATGGCCCACCCCGCTCTCACCAAAACCCCCCATAACCCTCTTCTTCTGCATGGAGGGTTTTCATGGTGATTATTTTTGTCATGCACCTGATAATAACCTTTTGGTTGCTTACACTGGCCCTGGGTATGCAAAAAGCCTGGCTCCCAAAAATCCCAGTATCCTGGAGGGGTGCATGTGGGACCCATTTGCAGAACCTTCAAAATACTGCAGGAAAAATCCTTTTTAACCCACAGCTGGAGAACAGAGGATGCCAAACAGATGGCAACAATTGCCAGGTTTTTAATGTCAAGTCAGTTTACAGTCCAAGTGGTTAAGGAATCATTATTGTCCAAACTCACTTTGTCTTCCCTGTCAGTGAGCTCGGGTTTGGGCACCACAAGTTTGAGCTTCATCGCTTTTCCACCCTACGCTTGAAATCCTGGGCTGTGAAGCTGGGCAAGGGCCAGCACAGGCTCCCTTCCCCAGCGCCATTTAGGATTTCCCTGCCACATCAACAACAAAAAGAAACAAAAAAAGTGCAAGTATATTCTCTCTGTTATTTCTGACGGTTGATAGTGCAAATTTAATAACAATCTAGGTGATAAAACACTGCAGAAATAATACTGTATTTACAAGCCCTGGGAAAATACTTTTCCAAAGAGAGTTTCTCTGAGTCCATGCTGTAAAAAAATGCTGCAGTTTAAGCTATGGCTTCAATTCAGCCCAAAATGCAAACCATACGTACAGCTTTGCTTTGCCAGGCTGACATACTGACAGTACAGCACATCCTTGCCAGAACTTAGGTCCTTTTCCCAGCAGGAAAAACCCATAAAAAGGCTTAAGAGAGGTACTGCTTGTTCCAGGATGCCAATAAGTAAATAATATATACTCTCACTCATCAGAGGGACATACAGCACAGTCCAGGCTCTGAAGGCACAGTGGAGAGCTGGCAGCTTTGATGCTTGGAGATAAAACTTTCTAAGTGTGGTTGCAAGGGGGAGGGCTATCCTTGACATTATATTCCCAGGATGGTTGGCAGAATTTGAAGCAGAGAAGCCTGTTTTCAATTTCTTTTCAAAATGCATTAAATTGGCTTTGCCAAGCTTGAAAGAAAAGAGAAACAACCCCCAAACTTCATTATCCAAGAATGTAAGAAACAGCCCTGAGACAAGAGAGATGCCATGGAAATACGTGGCCGTTGAAAACGGAATCAATCCCTGCTTTCCTCTGGCATTTAAAGGAGTGCTCCTGCCCTTGCACTGGCACTGCCAGACCCCTCCAGCAGTAAATGCCACCGTCCCAAAGAGGTTCCCAAGGAAGCACACGGCTCAGCCATAGCCGTGTCCTTCTTGGCCACCTGCCCGCCCTAGGCTCCCAAGCTCAGAGGACTTTGCCGAAGGCAACCTGCTAATGAGCAGGTTAAAAGCAGGTATGTGCATTTATCTGGACACACACTGAGTGGGGTGTACTTTGCATAGGGGGTGCAATGCTAAGAGCTGTGCTTACCCTCACCCTCCCAGCACCGTGCTCGCTGCCCGCCCAATGAACCGCAAAACCGCCTGGGCAGCAGGGGATGCAGCCTGCCGTGACCAATTTTAACAAAGACTGCTTGAAAACAAGTGGGAAACCTCCTTTGGCTGCCCCCCACCTCTGGGAACGTCTCCAGAGCCTTGCACCCACACGTGGTGCTTGCAGAAGCTCCTGGTATTTTGGGGAGAGCAATAATGTCAATCTGATCTGGGAAGTGAACAGCCTCTTCTTTTTCGTATTGTGAAGGAGGTTTTTGGGTTAAGGGCACGGCATATGGCACATGGGCTAAGCTCACTCCTGGGGACCCATAACAGTGCTGAGGACACAGAAGAAGACAAAACCCCTCCATCCCCAGAATGACTCTGGGCAAATCTGAGCAGAAGGAAATCCTTGGCAGCATCCATCGCTCATCATTCAAGTGCCTTCCTATATTATCCTGCTCAGAGAAGATGGATAGCTCTCAGAGTGGAAAGTTGCTGAAGACATCTATTAAATGATGATTGCCAGTCCCCAAGGTAGCTCTGGCTGTGCACCCAGCACAAAGATACAGCTCAGGATCACACCACCACCCACCGGCACCTCCATCGCCATGGGGC